CGGGCAGGGCCTGCGCTGGCCGGACCGGTCCCGCAGCATTTTCTACCCAGGGCACTGATGGGCCACCGTTGAGCGCCATTGCTCTCCTGACTCTGCCTCTCCGAATCCGTCAGGGAGGACGAGTCTGGACTGAAGACCGAGCTTGTCCCATCCCTGCCGTAGCTGTCCCCAACAGTCTCTGCCACCCACAGGATCACTGGGACTTCGCCCTGTGCCACTCATTTGGAACTTGCCGAGTTCCTGTCCTGTCCCTCCTAGGCCCAGCGCGGTCGATTGGCCCCATGCTCTAGAGAGTGAACTCCTGAGGGGACCCGTGAGGACAGGTATCCTTGGGGGCGGGGATGCCTGCACTAGGAGAATCACAGGGACCTAGGAACCAGGGGTCCTCCCAGTGGAGGGCACTGAGCTGCAACCAGAAGCCGGACGAGTTTAGTGTGGTGCTCAGTGATTTCCACTCTGGCTGCTGAGCACAGTGCTTACTCTGCCTCAGTTAATCCTGGGGATTGACACTTGCTTCCGAGTAGGCATTGCCGTCATCCTGTGTCCGCATATTTCAGGCAAGGATGCTGACTCACCAAGGGGCAGCCTGACACAGCAGCTGGCTGCAGAAAGCAAAGCCAGACTGTGAGCCCTGGTTTGACCCCAGGGCCTGGCCTGCGCCTGCTGGGCCCCCAGCAAAGCAGGAAGCTGTTCCTGGACAAAAGAAGACCCTTGTGCAAAAACCGGAAAGAGGTGAAAGAAGGTATGGTGCATTTTTTAGAAACCACATATATCACAGTGCAAGGCATCAAGGGTGGAGAAGCAGCAACAGGAAGTGAGGCCAGATCATCAAGAACCTTAGTCTGCCTTTTATCCCCAAGAATGTTTTCAACAAAGAGAGAGCATCTCCTTCTACCTGTCAGAGCCCAAGTCATCCTGAGCCAGCAGCTCTTTGAGACATCTTCTGTCAGCACCCTCTGTGTGTGTGTCACTGTCCCCTTCCCTTCACAGGGGATGGGGCAGGGCCTGACCTGTGTGATACTCAAGGAAGGTTATTGAACAGAACTTCAAATGATCCTGTGAAACTTGCTCCTTCTATAGGTGAGGATACTGCAGCCAGGGCTTACAAGTGAATGCCAAAGCCACACAGCCTGTTCTTTGTCATCCCCAGCACAGCTGTGCCTGTGCTCTAAGTGCTTTTCATTCATGTCATCATCTGGTTCTCACAATGGCTCACGAGGTGGATAGTGTCACCTCCATTTTGCAGATGAAAAAACTGAGGCCCAGACACTTTAGGTAAATTGGCTAACAACAGGGACTAGACATCTACTCTTCTAATTCCAGATCTATACCTTTTTACCACATTCCTTTCTTCATCTTCCTATTCACCTATCTCTTCCAAAAAGAGGTTCTTAAAATGTTTCTCACCATTCTCCTTTCACACAGCCCCCTACTCATAGCAGCATTCTGTAAGACTAAAATCTAGGTCTGCCTTGCAATGAGTAGTGGTCAACATGTGGATGGTGAAAGCCACCAGGAATTAGAGACATCTGTGTAGTCACCTCTGGTGGTAAAAAGCTAACAATTAACGTTGTTTGTTCCTTCTTCCTTGAGTAAAGGAAATGGGCTGTTCTTCAGACAAAGTCAAAATAAACCCAACATCAATAATGTTTACTTATATCATGGTGACCACCACATGACCACCCAAGATGGAGTCAACATTTGAGAGAAAGGGTGGACTATGGATCCATTTTCCCTCCATCCACCCATCATTTTCGTGTTGTTAATAGTGTAGTACTTGTCACTGTACTCTGTCTCCAAAGTACCAGATTGCTCACCAGCTTCTGCGCATTGCACAGAAACTGGATTGGGTTTACACCTGTGTTTTCCAGTCTCTAGGATACGTCATCAGCATGTGGTAAATGCTCAGTGAATGTTGGATGTGTAAAGAAATGATATTGCAGAACAAGAGTATGACTCACTCATGGTCAAGCAAAACAGAAACTAAGATCTGTGGCCACCTCGCTTCTAGGGTAGACGAAGGTCTTCAAGAACTTTGCCAGCCAAAGCCCCAGCATCATCTCAGCGATGGCAGCTCCCCACACTGGCTGTCACCCAGAGGTATGGGTGGCTCAGCAGGTGCCATGCTCTGTCTTATACCACAGTCCCTCCCTACCAGGCCAATACTAGGAAGCTGAGGTACAAGGAATTGCAAGAGAGAGGGGAATGGAAAGCCCTGGAAATGAGGAAGGTTGGGGGAAATCGAAACTAGGAAGAGGTGTAGGATTGAGGACCCATGGAAAGGTAGATCGAGAATGAGGTAGAGATAAAAAATCAAGTCATAGTCACAGGTTTCAGCAAATAGTTCCAGAAGAAGACAGTCCAAAACAAGGATTAACTCTTCAAAAGAGAAACCCAGGCCGAGGACTCCTGCCCAAGCCAGAAGTCCTCCAGAGCCTATAGAACAGAGCAGGGATGGGGCTCTGGTGTAAAAAATTATCAGGTTCTCCTTCAGTAGCCCCCGTTCACTCCAGGGCAAGAACAGAGCTATCCTAAATGTCCTGGTTGCAGCACAAATGTGTAGAATTCCAGGTGCCTCGACCTTCTTATTCTCGAAATCAATTACTAAATTCTACTTCTCTCTTCCATCCCAGTTCCTCAAATTCATCCTCCAGGTCTCTGCCTCCTGAATTGCCGTGGAGCTTTCTGCCACAGCCTGTCCAAACTCTCTCAGCATCTTTATCCAAGAGGCTGACTGGGTCCCATTTCTCCAGCAAAGTCACAGACAGCAACAGTTATCGTTATTTCTTGGTAGACATGATCAGGAATTGAATCGCTGGCTGACCGCACAAATAAGTGAGCCAGAGCCTCCTGAAAGTTTGTGCTCTCTGCACTCTTACATCACCGAAATCTCCCTTTCTTGCTCTTCCATTCAGCTGTGACAACATCCTGAAGTCCTGGCATATTCCCCTGTCCTGAAACCACAGAGAACAAACTCTCACAATGAAAAAAGGACACACTTGCAGCCCAAGGTCGAGGGTGTTGAATTACAAAGTCATTTTGGATAAAGGAGAAACTTGTATTCACAGGCTCGGAAAAGGAGAGCACAGGGGTAGTGATAAGGAATTCGGACAGAGAGGAACCCCATACTCCGGCTCAGGTACCCAAACCCACAGAACATGTGAGCCTGTCTAGACACAGGACAGGCATGCTGCTGATCTACCCACCCCAGGGGGCACAAGCTCACTGCAAACGATTCTGCAGGTTCATCAGCTGACCGATGAGCAACAGCACCTGGCGGAGTAATAGTAAGTCAGCTTGTCGAGCAAAGATGTGTGAAGCACCTGGGATGTGCTGTGCACTGGGGATTAAGAGACAACTGAGACCACCCTGTTTTCTAGGATTTCTTGATCAAATTGGGAAGCGAGGTAGGCATTTAAAAATAAAATGATGACGAACACTTTCAGGGCACTAACAGTGAAGCTTAAATGTGCTGATTTGTCTTAGGGTTTTTGAGCACATAATGAGAAAGGTACCATTATATCCCTGTATTTATTATTTTTCTCACTGGAACAGAATGCCTGACACCTGCAATTCAAAGGAGGAGAGCTCTATTTGGGCTCGAATTTAGTGGATTCGGTCTATGGTCAGCTGACTCCAAGAGAAAAACAGCATAGCAAAGGATAGCTATTTGCTGCATGGCATCTAGGAAGCAACGAGACAGCAGGGAGGAGCTGGAAGAATAAACACTTCCGGGTCACCACCTCCCAGTGTTCCACCTGCTCTGACCAGGCCCCGCCTGAGAATAAGCACAATCAGCCGTGAACTCATCAGGAAACGAATCCACGGAGGAATACAGTGTCCCCGCAGCTCAGTCACCTTCTAAAAGTCCCAACTCTGAGCACAGCCTTTGGGGGGACATTATAGATCTAAGCTATAGGAACCCCCTCTTTTGGAGAAGATGAAATGGGCTCACGAGGAGGTGACTTGTCCCTGCTGCTGATATTGGTCGGGCGGGGAGCTAAAAGCCGGCAGCAGAAACAGTGGCTCAGAAGGGCTGGGGAATGCATGGTTGCGGATTCGGCTTGAACTTTGGGGCAGAGGGAATGGCCAGGTGCAGAGTAATATGGGGTTAAACTGCAGAGGGCCTCTGGCCAGCTGAGTCTGGACTGCAGGGGCTAAGCTGTCGAAAGCCATTGAACAGGGCAGGGACCAGGCAAGGTTTGCTTTAAGAAAGAGACAGGCAGCAGAGGGTCTGGGTGGAAGGGAGAGGATGTGGGTTCTGATATCATGCTGATTTAATGTAAAAAAATGTTTGAAGCGGGAGAGTTAGTGGCAATGGAAAAGAAAAGAGGGGTTGGGCGGATTCAAAAGACAGGAAGTTTACAGAAGTTAGGGATGAACGGAAAGCTGGAGAGTTTTGTGTCTTGTAGGTCAACTGAGTGAATATCCAACAGTACTTCTGCAGATCTGAGGGAAGGGAATCAGTCAAGCAAATGAAGGGAGTGTAAGATAAGACGTTCCCTTCTCAGCTTAGGACTTTTCTAGGCATCAGGCACAAAGGAGCAAACCCCAAGTCCTAGCGGAAGGCATCAGTCTGACTTTTCCAAGTAGCTGCCCTATACCCTCTGAAATAAGACCTAGCCAGAAAATAAACCCTAGCATGATTTTTTTCATGATGCTCATAATATAAGCCCTACCCCCAAAATGAGCCCCAGTTAAGATTCTCAGCAAGACAGAGGCATTTAGTATATCCTTGGTAACACACGATGGATGTACTGAATTATAAAATAATAACAATAATATATGTAATTATAGATAAATAACATTATTGACACTAATACTTAAAACGAATAATAATATAAATTATAATAAGGTATTTGTAAATACCC